CCGTTTGATTAACAAGAATCTACTTCATAAGGTACTATTATGAGAATTCGTTAGAGCATAGTAATTCACTTAGGAGATTATAAGCTATTTCACGATCGACAAATAAATCTTGATGCAGCATCGCTGTAATTAACACAATCGGCGATAATCTCTCGAGATACAGTTTTTATTACATCTATAATTATACGTCTTGCTTTACAAGGTGAACAAAATTCGTAAAGTTTCTATATCATGCTTGTAAAACTACACGGAGAGACTTTCTTCTCAAAAGTTATCCCGAAAATCATGTAATCGTGGGACATTTCGGCATTTCGAAGAATTTTATAAAAGTTTTTCAATGTTTTACCATATATTTCTAGTAGAATGTATGGTAACATTAAAAAAAACCCTCATAAAGGTGTCCAAAATGCCACGTTGTGCCACGATTACATGATTTTCAGAGTAAACTTTAAGAGAAAATTCTCTCTGTGATACTGTATATAATAAATTATATCTGCCACGAGTCAATACTGATTCTCAAAAGTGAGAGAAACTTTTGGGGAATGGAAATCAATATTGAAATATGCAATATAACGTATTATCAATATTTATTTATTTCACTGATCATGACAAAGTAATAATTACGTAAAGCTGTTAAAAGTAAAACCCCGTTATCACTAGATTGTATATCATATTTACAAGTATAGTTTGCATCTGACAAAACTTTTTATGTGACATATTTTTCTCTTCTTTAATATATATATATGTGTGTGTATTTTCATATATATATAAATATATATATATTTATATTGTCCCATATATGCTTATATCGGATTCAATATGTATATATATATATATACTTTTTCTTTTGTGGCGCGTAGTCCTCGCTCATTGTACAAAGATCAGGCGAGTTAAGCTAAGGTTTAGTTCTTTTTATCTTCTCTCTTTCCCTTTCTCTCGTTATCGCTCAAATAAACAAACTGTAAGCGCCATCACTGACATAAGAAAAGATTATTGTACCCAAAACCCCGTTCAGTGAAGTAGTCCAAGTAAAATACTCTAGTTAACAATAAATTATTAAATATCTATTCACAAATGTATGTATAGGCTATCATTATTACTATCATCGTCATCGCCGGACACTGCCATTCTCGCCGTTATTCTCGATGTTATTATCACTATTTTTACATACACACCGCCTAGAGCTTACTGTACTTTGTGTGTGTTATCGATGCGGGGGCCGTTTGTGAGATTTTATGATGAATTTGAAGAATTGCGGGGTATTGAAACGGAGTATTTTGAAATGATAGTCATCTATAGATTGCCATAAACATCTACGGTGTACTTTATCACAAGTAACCATCGAGTAACTACAAAAGTTCATCATAAAATCTGATTAATTTTCAGTAATTTATTCTAGTTATCAACAACGGATGATTATCTTGTGGTACCAATTGGATCTTATGTTACAAAATGAATTTTTTTTTTCTATTATGAAAGATTCTTCTCGGATATTGAGATATTGAGATATTGTACATCGTTTTGCGAATCATTTCTCGAGCGAGTTACACCGATGGTTAACTAATCGTAATTCATCTACGATAGTCAATATGCAGAAAATAGTCTACGTACAGAATATACTATTTTAGAAAGGTGCTATTTTTAATGTAATGTCATTTAATGTTTCGGATTTTGTCCCTTTCTGGGCCGTAGTCTTACGTTACGATTGGAAAATGAAGGCTTAATCATCGACGATTGACATTGATCAGTTTGGTGCAACTCTTCTCTAGATTCTCTTAACATGGATGCTTGCCAAAATAATATTGACTTCTAGTAAGCATCAGGACAGAGCCTCTTGGAGGCCCGACGTGAAACGAAAAACGACAACATGATTATTATCAACTGTCACGCTTTGAAATTCAACGCATAATCGCGCAAATTTTATTTCGCTAGCCACTTCGCCTCATTCGGACACGCAAGGGTGAATGTTTACACGCGCGCTTGTACATGTGTATATCTCATAATATAAATCTTCCTATTTGTCTGCCTCTTTGTCTAACTGTGTGTGCGTGTGTGTGTGTGTGTGTGTGTGTGTACGTGTGTGTATGTATTTTTTATTTCGCGCCTGAAGATGACGTTTCGAAGTTTCGCCTTTGGAACCTCATCTTCCTGGAAAACGTAGCGCGATAACTCTGGACTATGTATACATTAAGTAACTTTCCGGCCATTCTTATCAACGAGTGCGATGCTGATTGTTTGGAAATTCAATAAGAGACACCACGAAATTCACTGAAGGAGAACGCCTTACAAAAAAAAAAACGCTTTACAAAAGCTCACTCGCCAGATGGACTCGTAAAACATCAGAGTATCTTTGCGATAAAAACGGTCGTTATCGCTGAAAAGATCTCTTGCAGCCGCAATTACAATTGTAAGACCGACCCTGAACACTGCGAAAACGCGTATCATTGTGACATATGCTACCGCTTATAATTGTTTGTCGCTGGATATTGCAGAATCAATTTGGACGAATCAATTCTTACAAGCGCTATACAATTATATGGTGTTTCCTCTACAATCCCACTCTATATCTCGCACTCCTCGTATAGAATATGACTTTCTTGTAATCGTTATATACACGTCTCTACTCTCTCATTATAGACTTTGCTAGTTAATCGTTTCGCTAGTTAACCGCTTTACAACTACGATATTCGACTGACTTGCAATGATGATCGGCCATCGTTGCGAACGCGCGACCGCATTCGTACGTTCGGTCCGCACCCTCTTCGGGTTTCCTCTTTATTTCGTTCTATTTCGATTAGCTCGCCATACAAAAAGCACGCACGCTCGCACCGCAATCGTGAGAATGACAGTTTGGTTTGTGTACTTTCTCCTCTTTTCCTTTGTTAAAAAATTCTGGAGAGATTGAACTCGAGGATTACAAAATTGTTGGATGGTCAAAATCTTTTTGAGGGACATCGATAAAAAACGGGGAAAGAGACGCGCGTTAAATGTTAGTGTTACAAAACGTTGCACGGGACGTTTTTTTTTTAAAAACGGTGGTTCAACAATTTATCGCTATTTTCCTCTGTTCTTTTTTGCTTTTGTTTTTTTTGTTTTTGATTGACTGACAGTTTCATTTTCGAAGTTTTACAAAACAAGTTCATATCGATATTTGGTGCCGACGCACAACTTATCCTCATTCGGCTATTTGAAAGCAATTCACGCGTTTCAATTAACAATGTTAATTCGTCAAATTCGTACGCAATATAACTCGTCAAAATTTAACGCTTGAAAGGATATTCACAAAGATACTTGCAACATTATACACAAATTCGCATTATCAACATTTTAATTTACTAATTCAATTAATGTTTCTTCTTCTAATATACAACGTGGTATAATTTCCAGTCTTAATGACGCCTTGTCGCGTCTTTCTGGCAGAGTTATACGTGTCCAGAGTAACTATTGACGAAAAAGAAAGGAACGCGGCTATACTTCAGCGATTACCCTGCCGTGATCTTTAGAGAATGTTAAAAATGTTAACGTTATTAATATACATGTAAGTGTAAAATATAGATCGCTTTGCGTTGCGGCTGGAAAAGGAAATGGGCGAAGCATTCACATTCTCGCAACATGCTTTTCTATTTTCTCGTAGCTCTCTCGCTCGTTCTCTCATTCTCACTTTCTTTATTTTTGCTATTTACAAACGTGGCTTAAATAACGTTCGTTAACATTTTCATCCTTTTTCTCACTCTCATTCTCCTCGCGCTCTTTCTTTCTCTCATTCTCTCTTACTCTCTGATTTGTTCTCCCTTTCGTTTACCTAAAATAATTATTTTAATTTAAAATGTGTCGTTCGCTCTAAGCGCGATCGAAGGGCAGCCTAATTCTTCTTCGTCCTCTTCATTAATTCGCAGATTTATTGTGTTACACAATGGGTCAAAATCGGAATAGATCGCGCACAAATAACATTATTTTTCTAAATTTAACGCTTTTCAGATACCAAATAAGAAAATAGAGGAACAGAAAGTGCATTTTCGTTTTGTCGCACAAATGTTTTCGCTATCGACACAGCATTACGTAGAAAGAACTAGCGAAAAAGCGCTCCGTTAATTCCAAGTGAATTTCTTCAGTCTTCTGTCACTAATTAATTCCGATCCACTGTGTATCATCATATTATATAAATATATATATACACACATGTGTATATAATATTTATATATCTGTCGGTTCTATCACTGCCGAACGATAATTGTCAGAATCGTTCAATCTGTCGTAAACTCGTCCGGTTTATAAAGAAGAGGGAGCTGGGCGGTACAGAGGACTGCCCTTGATAGGAAGCACATGAGCCTCGGAGTTGAATACCCAGTCATCCAGACTTATGAGATCGTCGTCGCTGAAGAGCAAATAGAGATACTGGAAAAAGACAAAATATTTTCACATTTTATATTTTCATACCTATATATTGTTATACTTTCGTATAATATACGTATATTTTCATTAACTCTCCTCTCTTTCTCTCGCGTAATCTATTGATTAAATCTTAAATAATATTCTTCATCGGAATGTTTCTTTATCGAATATTATATCTGTTTCTTTTTTGTCTCTATAAATACGCTGATTAAAAATAAAGTTTATGATACGATATTAACGAAATACTTTAATATTCTATCGTAAATTAATTTGCAGAAGCATTAATTTATAAAAACAAAATATATAAATTGTACAAGAAACAAGAGAAGAATTGTACAACGTAGTGTCAATCGAAGCGTTATGTTGCACACGTTAAATATAAATTTGAGATATACCGCCGTTGCCGAAAAGGAGTAAATATTAAAGGTTTAAGTCAGTCTTTAAGAGAAGTGTAAACCAAATCGAAACGATGTTTCGTTTCTCCTTACCTTCAATGTTTCAGCAAAGAAGTAACTTTGTTGGACGTCGTCTTTCGCCGAGTCGACTAAGTAAACATTGTTAAGTCCCGTGAATCCTCCGGGAACCCGACAATGCTTCTCCAATGCTTGAACCGCTTCCCAACCCCATTCGCGATATTTTGGATCCTTTGTTAACCGCCACATTATGAAGTAGGATTCGAAGGTCTGCGGAAAAGTATATCTCGTTTTATTCCATCCAATAAATTATGTCGACCTTCTTATAAGGAAACGAAGCATTGAGTTTTATATTATTCTGTAAATTTCTGGTAGAATTACAAGCGTTATAACTAAAATAATTAAATTTAATACTTAATTAAAAAGAGAAAATATGCGGGAAACTTATAGTCAACCCAACTGGCTAGTTATTTCATTTATAGTTTATCACACAACGTTTCGACCCTATTTTTTGGGTCCTTTTCAAGTGGTACTGCAAATCAACAACAACGTAATTGTGAAATAATGTAAGTTAATAAGTAAAACGACTAAAAGTTAAGCAACGCACCTAAGTCAGTCATCGTCGTCGAAAAAGATCCCCCAAAAAATAGGGTCGAAACGTTGTGCAATAAAGTAATAAAATAACTAGCCAGTTGGGCTGACTACAAGTTTCCCGTCTCAATTTTTAATCATTACTGGTGACAATAGGCAAACTCTCCTTTCTTTAAGTAAATTCTTAGATTTGCGAAAGATTACTTTTGAAAACTTTAATTTCATTTGAAGTAAATTTTTCCAAGGGTTCTTCGCGGTTAAAAACGATTTCGAACAGTAAAATAATTTTTCAGTACGGCAATCTTTCTCTCTCCCCCCTTCAGAGGAGACGAAGGATGAACGTAGTTGCGATAAAGATACTTAATCAATTAGCGCTGCTCTTGCATTGAGATGAAAACATGGACGACTTACCTCCGGTCGTAGAATGTAATATTTTTCGCCGTTCTTTAAGCTCCTAGCCTCGTTGCCTTCGATAAAGTGGAAAGCTTCGGGGCCAAGTTTTGTAGCGCTCCTGTCATACGATTCGTGACACGTGTTGGTCAAACCAGCGGCGATGTTCATGTATTTTTCAGACAGCTCGTTTTCCAGAGTTTTTGCCCCCAGAGCGAACATACCGCCTACAAAGCCATGATAACGTTATTGACGAGTTCCTATTTATTTGTTGAATTGATCGTTTATGTTGATACAAGAAAATAAAATAATTCCGTCTTGACGATAAAGCTTGAAATGAGTAAATGATTTTTACAACTATATCATAAACTTTAACGATTAATCATTTAACGGAGTATTTGTAATTAGATTATTTAACGACAATGCATCCGAGTATCGACATTGCTCAAGTTTGACAATTACGATGTAAAAATAATAGTAATTACATTAATAATGCACGTGCAAAACTTACCGGCGAAGCAAGCCAAGTGGCCCATTTTATGCTCCAGCCTGTCGTATTTTAAATCCGACACGTATACAAGTTTGCCAGGAGATGTCTTGATCATGTGCTCGGTTATAGCCGCTACAGCATCGTCATACATTTCACGTGCCTCGACGTCGTCCTTGCCCGACTGGATCCAAGCTTTCAGTAGGTACTCATAGAAACTGTCGCCGAGTCCACCGAGCGACATATGATCTGCAATTCCCACGAAAACGTTTCTGTCGTAAATAAATTTCATGCGAATTCCAAGAGAGTTCACGACATATTGTCCTCAGAAATTATTAGGCGAGGCCCACTATATCTCTTTTTCATTTACAAATTCTTTAACAAATTCTTTTGCCTCCGATATAATTTCTAAACGAATATGTTAGCCCGCTAAAAACTTGTATTATGCACAATTAAAGAATAAAAAGTCTTTTATTTTTAAATTGACAAAAGAGAACTTGAATTCGATCAAAGAATAAGAGAATGAAAGAAAAGTATTGAGAATCTGGGTTATTACATCGTCTCATTATATTCTTTTTAAGTTGAAGAAAAAAATGCATACATATTAAAATATTTAAAAAATATATAAACGTTTTGACACACGTGAAAGGAAACTTTTAAATACAAATAACAAGATTTGCTTTTCTCCCCATTAAAAAGTCTCTAATGCACCAGTTACTTTTATTTTCCATTCCTTTCATGTTAAAGCGAAATTAAAGGCTTGCGGGTGAGGGGAGGGGGGGGGGACCGACTCGTTTTGCAAGATAAAACGGCTGTTCGACTGCTCTAAAAGAGATACCGCTTTAAAACGGATAGCAACGGTAATCGCTGCGAGATAAAGGAATGCTGGAAGAATCTTTTCCCCGGAAAAGAGGGGTTTGTTCTCGGCGCTACTTCGATCACGTTTGAGGCGGGCGAAACAAAGGGCACATTTCTTGATATCTACTGGGTTAATTCCTGGATGCCTTGGGCTAAGAGCACGGTACCCATTTTATGTGAGATTTGCGATGAAAGGATGTACGGATTCGCTTTATCTCCCCGATCGCTACTTCGTCGGGAACATTATCGTAAGAACGTTATCGTACGAGAGTGCATGAAGGCTAGTCGTGCTACGTGAGCTTTATAGGCTTCGAACGAATGTTATTTATAATTTGAAAATGACAAACGTTTCGCACGCTGATTTTTATTTTGCAAAGGGAGACAGCGCGTTATATATTTGTTAGGAAAAAGCCAATAATGTATTGATGTCTACTGGTTACACTCAGAAAGAGAGGCGCTCGAGCAAACAAGATCGACGATGTTCTCGTTCAGGAAGATATAAAGGTTTCACCAAACAAATTATGTACCGACGTGACAATAAATTTTGTCAATGAATTCGTATTGAGTATTGATAATTATTATAGCAGTACAATATTTGACGTATTAACTATATAAAGCTTGTTCGGTTCATTATACAGGGTGTCCAGTAATTACCGTGTTACCCCTCGTGGACAGGTAGAGCGGATTAAAGTGAATAGAAAAGTCCTTTGTCGATTTTACGAATTCCTTAATAATTAACGGGCAATTAATTAATAAAGATCTGCGAACGAGTGTGCATCCGCGCGATTCAGCGACGAGAGACTAATTATTAGTAATTCCGTATATGAATACGTTTGATCGAAACATCAGTTCTGACCATTCGAGCAATGCTCTCTTTTTTTTGGTGTACTTACAATACACGGCGCCCGCCAGAGCGAAACCGTGAAAAATGTGGGAGGGGCGTGCGGTGAGACTAGATACCGAACGGTTTGGATGATACATCCCCGAGGATCTCGTCATACGTACAATAAGAAGGCACGCAGACGCAGGGGATTTAGGAGGTGGAGGATGATAAATGCGATATTCAAGATCGGCTATGGCGAAGACGGCGCCGACGCCGCGACGCTGCGGTGCAGCATCTTTTCGCGAGGCGACATGAGCCGACGCTTGCGATACGAAACGGCGAGGAGAAAAACAAGGCGACCAAGAAGTTGTACGGCTCTTTCACCTCGCGACTGTGCAACAGAAAACCATTTTCACGGTGTAAAATCTATGGCTATCGGATTAAAAAACTATTTCGAGCATGTACTACACGTCCGAAAATGTGTTAAATGTAAAATTATAATAATGAGTCATAACACACAGATGCATTTGTGTCGACTCAACGTTGCACAGTCGAAGACATACATAACGATTTTTTTTTTGGAGACGTTGATCGTGAATTCAAATGTGAAAATGACAATTAAAGGAGATACTATTGTATCTTCGGTCGGACTGGATCTTGATAGTCTAATAATAACATTTCTGCTTGAATTTTATATACTTTTTCAAACTTAGCAAATTGCGCGCGGATTCGTCGGTCTTGAAACAGGGCTAGTTTTGAAACTGTAAAATCGCGTATGTTTTGAAACTGTAAAATCGCGTATGTAATAATTGGTTTAACTTTTGAAGCATCCCTTTTAAATCATCCTAAAGAAATAGAATTCATAAGGCTCTGACGTGGGAATCACGAGTACAAAGTAATAAAGGATATAAGAGCCAAGACAGGATGTTAGTGTCTAAATGATTTTAATTTTTAAATTTGTTGCGAAAAATTTACCTCAGCCAGGGTTTGAACCTGGACCTCCCTATCGCTATGCGGGCGTTTCTCATCGGTGGTCGAATTGATGAGAGGGAGGTCCAGGTTCAAACCCTGGCTGAGGTAAATTTTTCGCAACAAATTTAAAAATTAAAATCATTTAGACACTAACATCCTGTCTTGGCTCTTATAATCCTTTATTACTTTGCATTCGTTATAAAGAATTTATTGCGAAGAATATTTCACCCTAGCCAAGGTTTTAAACTCCTGGACCTCCCCACAATCTGTGACGGTGTTTTTCAGTTCAATCACTGAGGCACGCGATGGTATTTATCGCAATAAATATTTAGAAGAATGTCTCGTTTCAGGCGACATGAATAAATAATAATATTGTTGCATCAGCGTCGATACGGGCTCGTTGGATCAAACGCAATCGTGAAGAAGTTGCGAAGCTTTCCCATAACAACGAGCCGCTGTTATTAAAACGGCTAAGAAGATTTGTAGCCGAGCTGTCAAGCCGGTCAGACGTATTGTCTTTTCTCTCCGCTGTATTTGTCTGATAATAAATTAGTTCTTTCCAACGAGCTAAGCCTGGCTATTTCGGAGAGCGCGAACGCGGATGTGTGCGCGGGGACACGAACGGTGCGCGACACACAAGCGTCTCCCGGGTCTCCCAGCAATATTAAGTGAAATTAGACCGATATGAATCTTACAATTAAATGGAAAAGATGCCATCTTCATCTCTGTGAAGTTATTACTTAAAAAATTATTTTTTTTCCGAGAGTTCTGCATAGATTCGCAATAGCTCCAGAGTTCCTGATAGTTTTAAGAAATAGTTCTGGCCATTAAAGGCATGAAAATGAATTTAAAAAATGTGAAAATGTTGCTGCCAGATGATTACACAAAAGTAATGGTAATGAGGATAAAACAATTAATTCTGCGATGCAGAAACGAATTCTGTATGTATAATACATATAACGAACAATATAGACGCAATTTTGTACATCTTCGAAATATATTCCTTTGCACCTGAATGGTTCGTAAATAATTTTCTAAACAAATGATGTGCCCGGTATGGATATCGCTCATTCGCTGCAACAATAACGTAAGTTGAAAAATAAAGTTTCGCAGAAAATGAATTTAAATGTTTCGAATGCTTTCGCAAATTTCGTAATGTTAATTTTAAATGTAATTTTAGTATTTTATAATAACTGATTGTAAAAGGAACAAGAATTTATTGCGATGAATATTTCAGCCAAGGTTTTCAACTCCTAGACCTTCTTGCAATCTGTGACGGGTGTGTTTGCCAATTCAATCACTGAGGCACGTGATGATATTTATCGTAATAAATATTAAGATGAATGTCTTGTTTCAGGCGACGTGAATAAACGATATTGTTTCGTCCGCGTGTATAGTATCTAGCTATGTATTAGCTCTTTATTAAGTGTGTTGAATTCTCATCGCATTCTTTTGTAAACGTCTCAAAAATGTTAATGTTTAAGTTACGTCGTTGCTGGAGCAAATTGGAATAATATATTTACGAATATTAATAAAAGAATCTTGGACGTAAATATATAGTAAATGTAACGCCGATTATTCAGATTTCACTTACGTTGACCCCATTTTCCTGTTCTCGGATGGATATAATTTGGATATAGACCCTTCGGCTTGTCCAGGCTCTTCAGGACCTTCCTTACATTCTCAACTTTGCTCTTGAACACTGGATTATTCGTTATATCGCTCAAGTAGGTAAACTCGAGATGCATCGTCCCGATTTCGGATAAAATACTGCAGCCGCTGCTCGCCCAACCGTAATTCTTGCTGGCCTGAAAAATAAGCGCAAGTTTCTAGCTAGAACACATTGCGAGATATAAAATGTTCAAAGTAATAAACGGATAGGTCAAGTATGATAACATTCTGGAAAATTACACTATATTTAGACAGTAGAATAGTGTAATATGAAATATTTTGCTATGACAAGAGAGGAAAACGATAAAATAAAAAATATCGACTTGTGTCACAATTTTGTTTTAACTATATACATATAATATATAATATATATTACAAATTTATTAATTTATAATACATAATACGTCTAACATATTAAAGAAATCTGAAATGTGATTCTACAATAATTTATATTTTGCAAGAAAATTTATTGGATCCATTTCTTTAGAATTTATGAAAAGCAAATAGATCGTAATACAAATGGTATAATCCATGAGAGCAGGCAGAATATGCTAATTCTTTATGAATAGGATCATGATATTAAGAATAATATGAAAATTTTATGGAATAAAATCTGATGCGGTTTTAAGTAATCAAAAGCCATTGTTGGAACGTTGAAAACCCAAAGAAACGAAGAGGTAATCTGTTCATCGGATATCGTCCGAATACTGTAACGAGGATTTGGGTAGATGAAGTTTCGGTGGGAAAAGCATAATCGCTTTATAATTTAATCTAGCCAATTAACTTGCTCGCTATAATTTCACCGCGATAAGATAGACGAGTATGCGGGGACGTAGCGTTTGCATGTCTTTTGTTGTAAAAAATAAGAGAATTACATTTTTCATTGCTATAATATCGTAGTACTTGTAGCAAGTTATTAAAATATCTCTTTTTTTCATGTATAATTCTCTTTTTTTTAAAAAAAGAGATGTTACCAGCGTGAATGTCGTTAATATCGAACAGTTGAGGCCTCTTTTCCGCGATGCCGATTAGTTTTCTCGAAGCGTGGCGTGCTTTACATCTCTTTTAGATTCGTAGTAAATGAAGATTTGCAATTTAGAAATATACATTTGTATACACCAACTATTGAGGTAAAATCTCTAATCTTAGTAATTAGAATTTAAGTAACAACGATTTTTGTTTCGAAACATTTTCTCGATTGAACAGAACTGATCGTTAATTTAATCAATACCAATAAGTCCGCGGAATAATACGCAAAACGTAGCAACAGTCACGGAACAAAGTAATGTACAATAAAATATTAAGTACGGAATTTTCCATTGCGTAGGCAGGCCAACGAATTCTCAACGTTTTTTTCTTGTTTTTCACTCGGCGCGGCATCGTACGACGATTAAGCGGGCCAACGAATCCTCAACGTTTTTTTGTTGTTTTTCCACTCGGCGCGGTGACGTACGACGTTTTTGCATGCCATCGTGTACCTGAAGGTCGCCGCGTTCTCACTCGCTCGCCGAACGTCGAGCCGGCAGGCAGTGGCGAGAGTCGCTCCGTGCGTGCTATTACTTTTGCGTTATCGGTTTCCAAGACTCGATCGCGACGAATGTAGGGATAAAACGCTATCGATTTGTACACCTTTATCAGTAACGAGTAACGTTCCTCGATTATTAAGTTCCTACAACTTGTAATGAGAAACTAATTGCGTGTTGAGGCGACGGCTCTTTATCAACGTACATAGGTATTTCACGAGACTAACTCATCTAAAATATGAATGTGAACCGTGGTACTTTGTCGCGGTTACATCACGTTTACGCACCACGCTTTTAATTATCTATCGATTTCGTGTAATCCGTTCTATTTTCGGGAAAACAGAGAAACTTGTGCGTGAAATTTGTGTGTGATTTCGGCGTTCGCGCTGTAATTCGCTCTGTCGTTTTTCACTATTTCGTGCGTTTCGCGGTATCTCACATCGCGTACGGGAGTGCCGTTTCGCGCGATCGATGATTTTTGCGAGTGAGTGTTGTGTCGGTGCAACAAGGAAATCTGAGAGGAGGAGGAGGCCGAGGAGGCATCGGGCAACGGCGGAGAAATGGTGAGGTAAGTGTCTTATATTTTTATGTTATTTGCTACTTGTGCAAAATCTGTTCTCTGTTTTTATTTTATTTATTCAAATGATTCGAACGAGAATTCGAATAAGTGTTAGAGACAAAACCATACGTAGAAAATTTTGTGAGTTTATATTTAAAACGAAGACTTTTTCAGTATTCTATATAATTATTTTAATAAATACCTATTTTACAAAATGTAAAATATAAAGTATATTTAATATAATGTTTTAATAATTTCGATTTTACGTAATCAGTCTATAATAATCATATACTTATTTGTATTGTTACAGTTTAACACATATAATTAGCGATGTACAACTCTGCTGTTGCGAATCGTATCAGTGAGTGATAAATTACTTTTTATTTTAAATTGACGTTGCGCATACAATTACTTTTTTGCATGTATACAAATTCTTAAAAATATACAATGCCCAACTACAAATTGCGCGCGCGAAGCGCGCATTTTGTCCTGTCCTCCTATATAAAAAAAGGCATATTAAGTCGATAGTCGAAAGTCTCGAAGTATAGTTGTCGTTTTTCTGAGATGCTAATTGGTCGTCTCGCTTGTGCGATACGACATGCTTCAGTCGTGTTATTTGCAGCTGTCATACCATGCGAATTCTTAGATAGAGCAAATAGCGCGCGCTTGTGTTATCTAGTATTATAAAAAAATATATGTAACTGATGCGCAACAAGCGACAAATTTTTGGAACTTTTATTGTAGACATATTTGCATTTAGATATTTGTTTAAATTGACAGTTGCAAAAGCATCTAAAAAATACTATAGCATATTATTTTTTTCAATGCATGAAAAGGAAGAGAATGAAACGGTCTCGAGTAAAACAGTCAGACAGCCTAATAAAAAAGCATATGAAATTTGCGCAACCGAGATAAGCATGTTTCACCATTCTTTTATGCCAATCCAAATTAATGGAAAATTATGATGTACTGCACGGAAATAGACATTCAATAATTAGTTGCGCCCACGAAAAATAGCAATTGTAAAGTTACCAAGTAGAATCAGTCGGCACGCATACGTTGTGTCGTGATTAAATCTCAGTTCTTTCCATTTCTTATTTCCTTGTACTCTCGACACTTGCATGTGAGTTGATTTTTTTTCGATAAGACTGCTTGTCAGACTCAATTGCTACTACACGCCATTTACTACACAATCAATTTATCTACAGTTATAAATTATTTAACTAATATACTTGAGATAATTTATAGAAGCACTTCAATTATTACTTCTTCTATTCTTTGCATTTTTTAAATTTTATTTGCGACTATG